GTTTTGACAGTGGTTTTCCTGTTAGTCTTGATTTTTGTTTCTGCAGGTTTTGTGTTTTGGTGATCAGTGGAAAGAGTGTCACTCTTTATTTAAAGCATCTTATAGTATTTACAAATACTATAAAATATCTATAGAATATGTTATAAAAATAGTTTAACTTTACTTTTTTAAAATTAGGAACTAGTACTTTATAAATATAGTTTGGTTGTTTATCTAGTTTTTATATTCATTTTAAGATTATTTAATATTGTAAAAGTTTTTAATTTAAAATAACTGCAGCTTTATAAAATTTCTTAATCATTTTTTCTGCAAATATATATTAAGTAATATCTTTACTAATTAGATTAAAACAATAAGCAATATACTAAAAATTTAAAATATCTTTATATTTTGAACAAATTATAAATTGTACAGCTACTACATTGGCTTTATTGTTACTAATAATTGCTGAAATTTTATTACTGTTAATATAATTTATAATTAATTCAATTTTACTAACCAAAAATTCTTTTATATAAGATTAATCTAAATAATTAACAATCTTATAAAGATATTTTTCTTATGATGGTGTTATAATAACAAAATTCCAAATTGATAATCTATTAAAAGCAGTCTAAGCATCAAGACCAACAGTAAGATTAGTAGTATTTTCTATAATTTTAACAACTTTATTAATAACTTTTAATACTTCAATATCTAATAAAACATTTAAAATCATCTTAACACCAAAAAAAAAAATAAATAAATAAAACATTTAAAATAAACTTTACATAATAAAGCTTCATAATTAGGTTTAAAAAATTGTAAAACATTTACAAAAAAAATATTAATTATATAAAAAAGAATATTACATATAATAAAAACTAATATAATAGTTATATTATTTATTAACTATTTAGATTTTTTAAGTTTTACAGAATTAAACCAATTGGTTAATTACTTATCTGTTTTTTTTTCTTTAGTTAAATATAAAATAGTATTTGGCATATCATAAAAAGGTTTATTAGTTGAAATATCTTCTAAATTATTAACTAAAATATAGTTAAAATGATATTATTACTTTTCAGAAATACTTTTACAACTACTAGTAAAATGTGCATATAAAGTATATAATTTGGCATGTAAATAAAATTTATTACAAAATTTACAGGTTTCTTCCTAATAACTATTACTTTTGGATGCATCTTTTTCAAAGCATTTTTAAACTTTTATTAGTAAATTTCCTAATTTTGAATTGCTTAAGTTTATAAAATCAGTTTTAGTATTACTTAAAATTGTTTTATTATTTTGCTTTCATTTAGTTATTGTAAAAAAAGAATTATAATACTTATTACTTCAAAATTTAATAAATATATAATTATAAAATTTTATATTACTAGTATTAATATTACAAATTTTTTATAAATTAAAATGTTTAAGAACTAGATATATGTTTTTTTTATCAATAAATAGTATATATTTTTTAATAACATAATTATATTCAGATATATTAAACAACTAATTATTATTATAATAACTATATATATAGTAATAGTTTGAAATACAATGCATAAAATCAATTTAATTTTGTTATTATATAAAATGCAATATTTTTATAAAAGCCAGTTTGAATATTAATAGTGCTACTTTTGTTTTGCTAAAACATATTGATATAAAAAAAAATGCTTGACTTTATATAAGTGTTTGCTTTATGCAACAATTATACTATATTAAGTTTAAATTCACTTAGTGAATAATCTTATATAATTTTTTTTTTAATATTAAGATAAATACTTGTAATCTAGAATTTTATTAATAATACATTTAGCTAATAGTTGCATTGCAACTACAGAGGTCAACTATAGAAAGAATGTACAACTATTTATTCATATAATTTTAGTTATTGTTTAATTTAAATAGTTTATCTGAAGAAAGGTTTTATATTTGCTGCTATATCTAAAATCTGCTTATAAGTTCCTTATTTAAACATTCTAGTTCCTATATTTACTTATCTACTTATACCTACCAAGATAAAGCTAGTTGATTACAATGCAAATATGCCATGATCACTAAGTCTTTAAAACAGTTTATTCATATAAGAAACTTTTAATTTTGTACTAAACTTTTTAGTATCTTTTATATTTTATTCTTATAGCTGACCTGATAATATTATAACTAAAATCAATACTTGCAATCAGGGTATATTATTAAATCATTATAGTCTTGTAAAGTTTATTCCAACTCTGATACTTACTTCACAATATATCTCTACTACTTTGGTATTTAATTTAAGTTCTACTAAGCTCTCAGTTCAAATAACTCAAAAAGATAAATACAACATACTTCTAGTTTACATATTCTCTAGCATATAATCTTTTTCTCTAGAATGGATTCTGGTAACCTAGCTAGCTACAACATCTCTTTTTTAAAGGCTGTATCTTCATCTAGTTTTACAAGTTTTAGCTCTATTTTATAGATCTAGTCTTTACTATAGCATTGTTAAAATTTTGAACTACCTCTCTACTTAGGTCTTTCAAGTAGGCTTTGTTTTTCTGGTTCTTGTGATTTACAAAAACAAATCATAAGTTTATAGTATCTGGTACCAGTTTGTATTTTTTTATACAAAATGCAACTATTGCATAAATATTATGTAATCTTTCAGTTATGCTGATATAATACAGATAATAGGTATCTGATCTTAACCAATAACAGAAAACAGTTGATTATAATATTAAATTTCCACTGATACTAGGATTTAAACTTTAAACTTGTCACTTAAAAGGTTAACAACATGACTACTTTACTATATCATTATGCTTTATAATCTTATATAATTATATATAATTAATTATAATATATATATATTAATTGTAGTATACAAAAACTTTAATCAAATAAATTTTAATTTAATCTCAAGTTTTTTTTCAGTATAACAGAAAAAAAACTTTTTTTTTTTAAACTTTGATAATCAAGATTTAAAAATTTAAGTTTTTTTTAAGCAAATTATACAAGATTTATTATTTAGAGAATTTCTATTTGTACACTAGTGTGTAAACATGCATCATGTGATATGACATCATTTAATAAAAAAATACAATTTTATTAGTTGATAATATGAATATATTTTAAATAGTTCTGTATAATGTAGTACAGTTACTAATAGTTTGTATTATTATCTACTTCAGATATAATGCATTTACTAATTTTCGCCTCACTTTCTGTATAACGTAGCACAATCAGGATAATTCAAAACAAACATCACTTTGTCGAAAAACATCTATAACTCAAAAATCTGTATAAGAAACCACTTTTGGTGCTCTAACAAAAAGTTTTTCTTGAGCGATTTTACTATTAGAGCTCCTCTAACCCTAACTTTAGCATAGACTCTAACCCTAATCTAAACAAACTTTTAAGAATTTTAATACCAAAAATTTTTGTTAGGTAGTTCATAGTACAGCCAATCAAAATTGCAGAAAAGTAAGGCAGAAATTAGTAAATTCGAATATAATACGTATAACTAACATACATACCAATAATAATACAATTTTTTAGATTGAGTAACTACTAACATATACAATTATATGCATATGTACATATTTAATAATCAGTTAATCATACATAACTAGTAACAGTTACATAGTACAAAGCTGAATTATGATAGAATTATATAGTTAGTACATAAACGCATACGTATATGTAGAAAAATAATTGTTTGTAAATTTTCAAAGAATTCGATCTTTTAACAAAGTACCAAATAAAACAGACAAAACCATAGTATCAAATATTATTCATATCAGACTGACTCCTGACAAGTTTTTGCATAATGGCCAAATTTTTTACACTTTCCACATATACAACCCTTTGTAATCATACTACTATTACTACTCTTAACTACATTTGTATTTTCAGAGTTGTTTAATATATTAACATATGTACTATTCCTTAATACTTGTTTGCCTTTAAAAGATGAATATTCGACACTAGATTTCAATCATTTTGGTGGTCAGCCTTTGTGCCTAGTAATACTAGGATTAATGACAGTAATATGATTATAATCAGTTGGTTGATTTTCGTCAATTTTATTCTGCATATCGTAAAGCAATGATTTTAAGGTATCAGATAGTTTTTGTGATGCATTGGCTCTAATAGCTGTATCAATAACCTTTTTTAATAATTCAAACAATTCTGCATATATAGCTTTATCAGATTTAGTTGTTGATTCAGAATTCCATGGTATAGATCGAATAGCAAATAAATGTTTAAATGTAAAATTGCTCATAGGTTGATCCTCTTCTGGTTTAAATGCACCA